ACGCCCTTCTCTATCCTACAGGCCCTGAACCAGAGGAGTGACCAGCAGATCACGAGCCTGAAGAAGAAGATAGCCTGGGGCACCAAACTCATGAACAACAAAATCGAGGTCGGCCTGCACGCGCTGCGTCTGGGGTGCGAGCTGAGTCTCGAGCAGCCCGCGAACGCCACCAGTTCGAGGACCGTGCAGTCGCTGATGAATCTTCGGAAGCAGCTGTACGAGGTCACCACAGCAGGTTGCGCCTGGGGCATGCGGGACAGTGAGACGGGCCAGGCCGTATACAAGAACTGGAGGTTCCTGGTGTCCAACCAGCGGGCAGCTGAGATCCCTGAGCGGAAGTGCCCTCGCGATGACGTGCATCGGCAGATGGAAGGGGCCGACTCCGCCAACTACCCGGACGCCCTGTGCCGAGCTCTCAGCCGGGAAGTGCTGACCCATGCCCTGGTGTCCTGGATCACCGCTGGCGCGAGCGAGATCGAGGGCTTCTGAAGGAGCTGACCGAGGGACACATCGAGCAGGCCGAGGTCATGGCCATCGAGAAGGATACCGAGACGGAAGACCCGACTGACGAGTTGAGGAAGTCGGTGCGCCTCAAGCTCCACCGGCTACACTCGCAGCTGGGTCATCCTGGAGCCCGAGCGTTCAATCAGTTTCTACGACGACGCCAGGCTCCCAGCTGGGTACAACAAGAAGCCGGAGAGCTGAAGTGCGCCGCCTGCGAACGCTTCCAGAAGCAGCCCATGCATCCTACGGCATCGGGGAGACTGGCGGACCCACTGGACGTCCTCATGATGGACGGGTTCGACTGGGTCCATCCCTTGTCAGGGACCCGGGCGCGCGGCACGCTCCTGGTGGACGAGGGCAGCGCGAAGGCGGTGGCCCGCGTGCACGCCACTCAACCGGATGGAGGCGGATGCGGCAACACCAACGCAGACGAGGCCTGGGACACCTTCGCGCGCTGTTGGGCTCAGTACTTCGGACGCCCGCTACGGATTCGCACCGACCCAGCAGGAGAGTACGAGGCCCACGTGAACAAGGAGAGGGTCGCCCAGCACGACATCCAGAGGGAGTCTGAGCCAGGAGGAGCGCACTGGAGGACGGGCAAGGTGGAGTCCATCATCATGCTGGTGAAGAACATGGCCACGACGCTGGCCTACCTGGACCCGACGTGCAGCATCGACGAGCTCTTCACGTGGCCGGCGGCCGCCCACAACGAGATGCCGAATAGCTCAGGCTTCAGCCCGGACCAGATCGTCCTCGGACGCCGCCTAAGACCCCTGGACAGCGAGCTGATGGGATCGGTGGTCCCTTTACAGGAGGAGGCACGCTCAGGGTCAGCCGCGGAGGAGGCCATGCGACGACGCCTCCTAGCCCGCTCGGCATATGCGGAGAGTCTGGCAGATCGCCAGGCCCGACTGACCGCGGTGAAGCGCACCCGGGCGCACCGGGAGTACACCGTGGGCGACCAGGTACACGTTTGGCGCCAGGCGGGCAAGACGAACAGGGATGAGAGCAAGACGTCCAAGGGAGGCTACGTCGGGCCAGCGACGGTGCTCGCTCATCTACGGCAACCATTGGAGCAAGGACGCCTCCGGAACGTGGTGATACTGGCCTTTCGGGGACAGGTCCTTCGAGCCGCCCCACAGCAGCTGCGCCTCATGTCCGACGCTGAGCGGACCCTGATCGAGCTGGACACGGAGACTCGGGACCTTTTGCACCAGCGCACGGACCCGGCCCTGAAGAGACTCTCCCGCGTGGTGGAAATCACCAGGGAAGGCGAGCCCGACTACGACCAGCTGGAGGATCCTGCCAACGCCGAGGAGCCACCCCCGGCGGTGGAGGTGAACATGGAGCCGGGTATGCCGCTGGACGAGGGCGTCTCCCGAGGTACAGAGACACCGCCACCAGATACCCCAAGGAGGTCGGAGCCGGGGCAGGAGCAGCCGGTGAGCGAGCCCTCTCCAGAGCGTGGAGCCGAAGCACCTGAAGAAGACGGAGGAGCACCACCGCCGCCAGCGAGGCCCTACGACCCGAGAGACGACCTGGCCCGGCGCCGAAGAAGAGTCGCGAACAGTTCGGCATGGAGGACGTCCTGGCCTCCCTCTCAGACGAGTCCCCAGCCTACGAGGTGCACATCGACCTCCCCGATAAGGAGACCGACAAGAAGGCCTGGCGCAGGCTCGCACGGGACCCCTCGGCCTGCGCTGCCGCCGCCGTGAAGAAGGGCAGCCCGAAGGTGATCCTCTGGAAGCTGGACCACACCATGAGGGAGCAGACCCGTGCAGCCAAGAATGCTGAGATCAACAGCTTGCTAGCCAACCAGGTCACTACGGCGGTCAAGAGAGCGGACGCCGGACCCAGAGGACCGACGAGAATGCGCTGGCACCTGACGGTGAAGTCGGACGGGAAGGCCAAGGCCCGTATCGTGCTCCTGGGCTACGAGGATCCGCGGCTGGGTCACATGAAGACGGCGAGCCCGACCGCGTCCGTCAGGGCGAGGAACCTCGCCTACCAGGTCTGTGCGAACGAGGGCCTGGGCGACGTGGAGGCGGCAGTCCTGCAGTCCCAGAGCTCCGACACCAGCATTTTTGTGGAGCCCGTCCACGAGCTGCGCGAGGCCATGGACTTGCAGGAGGACGAGGTCGTGCTGATGCTCAAGAAAGCCTACGGCCTGTGCGACGCTCCGAAGGAGTGGTACGACGAGGTCGCCAGGCGCATGGCCGAGTCCGGCTGGGTCGCCATGAAGCTAGAGCCGTGCGTGTGGACTATGTACGACGAGGGCCGTCTGGTCGCAATAGTTTTCGTGCACGTGGACGACTTCGTGTTGGGCATTCGGGAGAACAACGACGTGGCGAAGAAGAAGAACGAGGAGCTGCGTAACAACTGGCAGTGGGGCTCCTGGGAGACTGGGTGCTTCAGGCAGACGGGCGTGGACGTGGTGCAGCTGTCCGATTTCTCCATCTCACTCTCCTTCGCCGCCGCCGCCGCGAAGGTGGAGATGATCGAGGGATGGAGCGGACGAGCGGGGCGAGCTGACGACGCCCTGCCGGCCCCGGGATTCACCGCGTGCAGAGCGGCCATTGGAGGCCTGCAGTACCTGGCATCACAGGGCCAGAGCCTCATCGCTGCAGGCACCAGCATACTTTCGTCATACACCAATACCGCGACGCGACATATGGGCTGGTCACGCGCATCAACAAGGTGATCCGCACGGCCCACCAGACCGCCCGCATACCAGTACGATTTCGTGCAGTCAACGACCCGATCTTCATCGCTTTCCACGACGCGGCCTGGGCCGTCAGGAAGGACGGGAAGTCGCAGGGAGGCTACATCATCGGGATGGGCGAGCGAGCGTTGCTACCCGGAGAGAGCCAAGCCACATCCCCATTACAGGTCACCTCGAAGAAGCTCCAACGGGTGACCCGGTCGAGCCTGGTATGCGAGGTGCGGTCGGGGAACATGTGCCACGAGGACCTGACCTACATGCGCATGGCGTGGACGGAGTTGATGCAAGGCGGGGTTAACCTGAAGGACATCCAGGCTCACTTCAGCTCACGCAGGCGACCATGGTCACCGACTGCAAAGGTCTGTACGACGCCCTGGCGCGCAGCGTGAGCACTGGTCTGGGCGCAGATGACCACCGCTCTGCACTCGAGGCGCTTGGCCTCCAACAAGCGATGGAGGAAGGAGCCACCGAGCTGCGATGGGTTCACTCAGAGGCCATGCCAGCCTACGGCCTGACCAAGGGATCGTGTGCATCTAGATCCGTGTTGGCGGACTTCCTGACGCGGGGCTACTGGCGTCCAGTACAGGACCCGACCTTCACCTCAGCCAAGAAGCGGCGTCAACAAGGTCGCGAGGACATCCTGGACGACGTTTCTTCCCATCGGTAAGCCCCGACGATGACCTGGGCGACTTCGAGATACTGGCTGAGTATGACAACTACTATGACGAATCGCAGTACGATAGCCACGACGACCTCCCCGTGTGGATCATGTAAGACACGATAGGTGTGCAGAGAGTATAGAGAGCTTGTCTCGTCTTTGCTATGTTTGCCTGTTGTGCATAGCGTTATATATGCAGCCATGTTGGAGCATGCTACGGCCGTAGCTAGAGGACTGTAAAGACAGTGCATCGCCGTGACCGGCGCTTCGAGAAAATACTGACATCACATCTGCATTGACAGGAGGGGGCATCGCGCGAGGGGGCTCCGTCGGTCACAGGTCTCTGTGTCCGTGGGGGCAGCATGGCGACCTTACGCGGTGGCTTGCGCGAGCGGCCAGCGCGGCACGCTACATCGGAAACGAGGGCGCTCACGCGCGACCTCGCGCGGGCAGCTTTCGCGCGAATGTCCGCGCAATCGAACCCATGCTTCTGCGTCGCGCACGTGTACTTCAGGAACTGCCGCTGAAAGGTGCAGGAAAACGGCCACTTAAACTGTTAGAGCAAGCAGCGTTTGAAGACCTACCAAACCACCCCAACCCAACCCGAAGACCCGACTTTCGGGTTGGTGGGGTACGGGCTTCACAAGTGTTCTTTCAATGTTCTCCGACCACTCCACTGGAAATGGAGGGCAAATCGGAGCCTTCGGGTTGGGTTGGGGTGGTTTGGTGGTCGGTGAGCGTTAGGATCCGACACGACCCGAAGTAACTTCGACGGTCGAGCTCCCGTGCCTGAGTTCCCCGCCTCCCGCACGGGAGGAACGAGCGCCCTTCGCGGGGCGTGGGGAAGGCTGGATATTGCGTCAAGGGGTCCGTTCGGTGCGCGCGGCTGGAGGGGGAGGGGAAAACGCGCCGGCTGGCGGGGCGCGGCGTGGGGGGGAGGGGTTGACCAAAACTCCGCCCACGTGCTTGGCCGAGGAAATCCCACGAGAAAGAAGGCAGGAGGGAGAAAGAGAGAGAGAGAGAGAAATCCCAAGGGGCGGCGCTCTGGCACCGGCGGCTGACTCAGTGCCTCGGGGGTTTCGAAACAAAAAGGGACTGCATGATCATCGCCCCCAATCAATAATTACAATCTGGACTGTAAGTGCTGCCCCCTATCTGGATACCTACAGCGTTCACCGAGTACTTGTAGCAGCTCTTCCCGTCGAGCGTGCAAGTCTGCAAGACAGTCGGCGTCACTGCGTTGCCACCGATCGTTATGCCAATCGACGCGCCCGCGGGCAACTCACCGCCGTCCGTGCAGGTCGGCGAACCGCCCGACGTGATGTTGCAGTTGTATTGCAGGATGTTCTCGCACGTCGGCTCCACGCACGTCTCTGGCGGGCCCACGAACGTGGTTACAGGGCAGCAGCCGTCGTCGCCGAAGTCGGCGAAGGCGATCGGGCACCCGATCTTGCCTGGGGGAAGCAAGAGGAAGGCCGAAGAGGGAGGGAAGAGGGAGGGGGGAGGAGGGGGGAGGAAGGGGCAGGAGGAGGAGGAGGAGAGGGAAGAGGAGGAGGAGGAACAGCAGTTGGGGTCGGAGCAGCTGGGGTCGGAGGATCGCGGGCCGCATCTGCGCTGCGTCGGAGGATCGCACACTGCATGGACGAAGAAAAGGTGGGTTTATCCTGAACACACTGCGTCACCCGCGCACGGGCGGTGCTGGAGTAGGGACTATAGGCATACCACGACGCGTTCGTAGCAAAGGGGAGCGTCTTAAGATCAAGAACGGATATTCTTAAACATGAGGCCGACGTACGAAAGCAAAACGGCATCGATCAGAAAATGAGGAGGAAAACAAACAAAAACAAACAAACAAACAAACAAACAAACAAACAAACAAAAAAACGCACCCCCCGAACAAGTACAGAAAAACTTCCCAAATGGGGTCGGAATAAATGGGGCCCGGGTATCGCGCCGCATCGCCAATACATCGCCGATGCATCGGCGTGGCATCGGCGATGCACGATGCATCGTCGACGTGGGCGGTACATCGGCGACGTCGACGTGGAGAACATCGGGCTCCACGTCGAGCCGCGTCGCCGATGCATCGGCAAGGCGGCGAGATCCTTCAATCCCCATCTTCTCCGACCACATCTAGGAGGCCTGGATGGTGGGCTCACAGACGTGCCAGGACGCCTCGCCACTGCTTGAGACGCCGCCGGCGCGTCGGCGGAGAAGCGGGGGCGCTGCGCGGGGCAGCGGGCGCGACCACCGCCGCGCCCCGGAGCGAGGACGGGGAGGGGGAAGGAGGAGGGGGAGGAGGAGCGAACGTCACCTGAGGGGGCGACGGTCTGGTCAGCCGCGCCGCGGCGCGCCGGCTCACCCCGTCGGATCTGCGGGAAGATGGAGAGCACGGCGCGCGGCGGCGATGGCGGAAGTCTGCTTGCTGCACGTCATGGGCTGGACGTCATCTCTCGTCAGGTGGCATGCCCTGGCGGCCACGCTGAGGCGCGAGACCGAGTTCGGGATGCCATTCTCGCCGTCGAAGGGCTCTGACAAGTCACTGACGAGGGGGGCAGGGCGAGGCGCGCGAGAGGGTTGGCACTCAGCCGGCCACGCAGCAGGCTCAGCTGGCGCCACATCCGCTCGCGCACGAGGTGGTGCTGGACGCGGTCGTTACCCTGCGGGTGCGCGCGCCCAAAGTGGCAGGGGGTTGTCCTGAATGACGTGCATTCTGTGTTTCGTAGCCCACGCGCCCGCGAACGCTTTCACAGCGGCCCACATCCTCGCTGGCGGCAACGTCGCGAGGTAGGTGCGTAGACGCTTCCAACGCGCTGGCAGGTCGGCTGGAACGCGCTGGAGCTGTGCAAGATCTGCTGGCTCGCTTTCATCTGCTGGTGAGTTTTCGTCGCGCATGTCGTCGTCGGGGTCGGCGCCTGAGTCAGGGATGCGGTACGGCAGGAAATTGGCAACCCATCGGCGTCTGGCTCGGTGCTGTGCGGCTCCATATTCGAACAATGCGTTCTGGCTGCGCGTGTCCTCCCCAATGTTGGTCACTCTCGTGAGACGCCGTTCGAGTAGCATGCGGCCGACGCCGCTGTTGCCCCACGGCTGCGCGCGCATGTTGACGGCGACGCGGCGGCGCTGAGCGTCCGCGTCGCACAACGGGGGGAACAGGCCGGTGCCGAGCAGTTCGCACAGCCAAATGTTGCACAACTGGGCCCAGTCGCCCCGGCCGTCGACGCGGCGGTCTCGAAGCAGGATGTCGGGGCGCCAATGAGACGCCCACGCTCGACGTCGTGTGAAAAGACGTTCTTGCCACGGCGGTGGCCGTTCGGCGGTTCGGGGGGGAGCTGCTTGACAGGGTCCAGAACAGCGAACTAGGCAAGAAGACGACGCTTGATGGTGTCGGGCATGGTGTCGACGTAAAGCTGCTCGGTTAGTGGCATCATGCACGCTTTCTGTGGCGTGATCTTGGCAGGTTTGCGACGATGAGATCGGTCTTGTTGTTGTGATTCCTGCGCTGGCTGGCGTTGGAGGAGAGCTTGAAGGCCTGCTCGCGCAGCAAGCTTGCTCGCGCCAACGATTGCTGCGCGTGCGCGTGGTAGCGGCCCAGCAGCGCGAGTCAGACGTTTGAGATGAAAGCCTTGACAATCAAAGGAGAAGGTGGAGTTGGTGATGCCCTCGAAGCGCTGGACGATGGCGGTCTTGATTTCCCCCAGCGATGATGTCTGGGCCTGGCAGCGCACAGGTGGGTGCGACGATGCACTTCTTCGCTTGGAGATGGAGACCCGCAAGCGTCTCGGCGGCGATCATGCTCGGGGCGATCGCACTGGCGTCGTGGAGTCTGGCGAGGATGACGCCTAGGTCGCCGGCGCAGGCGCTGACGAGGCCGCGCTCGATGGCCCTGAGCTCGGAGCTGATGGCCGCGATGATAGGGCCGAAGAAGAGGGCCCAGAATGCGCCACTCATGGGGCAGCCTTGAGCTATACCCGATGCCGCGGCGAGCGGCGGGCGTCGCCCCCCCCCATGTCCAGGCGCGAAACCGGCCAGCGGCAGCAGACCTGGATAAGGCGCAGCATGTTACCGTGGACGCCCCAGCGCGTGAAGGAGTTCCACATCGACGGATGGCCGAGACTCGGGAAGGCGGCCGCGCTGTCCATGCTGACGAGGACGGGCATGTCTGCCGATGCTGAAGGTGATCGGCTGAGTTGTCTGGCGGCTGCGTCCACCACGACAACGTTGTTCAAAAACTGGCGGCAGCTGACGATGCCCTGCTGCTCGGGGGGCGCCTGGGCGGCGAGGGCGCGGACCTGGCGGTCGGCGGCGGAGACCGACAACTCCACGCCCAAGCTCTTCATTGATAGCGGACGAAGGCAATCTGGAGCGCGAGTGCACTCTGCGCTGCTACTCGGCTCGTCGCCTTTTTGGCAACACTGCCATGCGGGAGTAGTAGAGGTCGCGCGGAATGTTGTCGCTGGCGGCGATGTCGTTGCAAACGTCGGCCAGAATGTCGAGGCTACCAGGCGCGCGGGGCCGCGCCTTGCATGGAAGAGCGGCCGGGCCAGGCGCGGAGCCCCCAGCAAGCCCGGCGGCTTTCTCGAGCGCCCGCGCGCCAGGTAGCGGGAGGTCGGCAGGTCGACGCCGAGTGAAGATGGAATCCAGGTACTCGGCGAGGCGCATGACAGCCACGTGTTCCCCTGCAAATACTGGGGCCCAATGCCGCGCGATGGCCTGGTGCATGGCTGCGGGGTCAGTCGCTGCGCTGGTCAAGCTGTCGGCGATGATCTCGGCGCCCGCCAACGCGAGGCGCTTGGAAAATGGTTCCCGCTGTTCTCCGCGAAGCCCTTCACGCGCGGCGCGCTGGCGCCATTTTTGGCAGAGGGGGGCGTCATTGACTGCGCGTGCTGCTCCCGAACGGGCTGCCGCAGGCGCCTTGCGCTCATCGCCGAGGCAGGCGCGGGCGCAGTCAGTCGCCACGGCGAAGTTCATGTCGTTGATGCCGACGGCGCCCACCACGATCTCCAGTTGGGGCCCGCCGGCGCCGGCGTTCTCGATCAGAGTCTTCGCGAGCGGGGCGATCTGATGCCAGACGGCCCTGGCGATGCCGCGCAGGGCCCCGGCTCGGACCTCGCGAGATACCGAGGCAGACTGCGACTGCAACTCGGCGGCAAAGATCTTGGTGAGCACGTTGCGTGCTCGGGCAGCGGAAACCTGCGCGGCTGCTTTGAGGGCGCGCCAGTTCGCGACGGGCGTTAGCGCTGTCACATCGACGCTGGCAAGAATATTATAGATGTGGCGCTGCTGGTGCGCTGCGTCGAAGATGAACGCAGGAATGCCACGCTCGGTGGCAGGTTCGGCCCGCGCAGGCGGATGCGCAGGCGCATGATCTTGCGGTGGCTGATGGGGCCCTTGCCGTTCTCGAGCGGCGAGTCGTCGGAAACGTAGATTGTCTCCATGGGGGGCACGAGGCACGAAGCAGCGGTCAGCCGTCGATTCACTCATGGTGGCTTGGAATCTGCGCGTCGTGGGCGGAGCGGCAATCTCGATCACGTCGCGGAACAGGTTGCGCCAGAAGCCGGGCTGGCATTGCTAGCGCTGCGCGGCTGTGGCGTCGGCGCACACGGGGGCGTTGATCGAATTCGGCGGGAATTCGGAGACGTTGAAGTCCCCCGCTATGACAAGGTGACGGCGGCGCGGTTGCTCGCCAGCACGAAGCCGAAGCGCATGCCACTGGTCGCGGAGATGAAGCCGATCGGCAGGAGTGAAGCCGCAATTGTGGACGTTGAGGACGGCGACTTCAAACTGGAGGCTGGCATCCGAGACTCGCAGACAAGCGGCGCGGCCAGGGATGGCGACCTCGAACCTGGCGCGAGGATCGAGTTATTGCGGAAGGTGCTGTTCATTCTTGCCGAACGGAACCAGGAAGCCGACGCCGCCCGCGTTGGTGACGGGTGCGCCGCCGACGATCATCGAGGAGTTGCACGGCTTGTATTTGTGCTGCGTGGAGTTGGCCAGGACGGTGAAGTCGACCAAAGTGCCATGCGTTTCTTGCACTGCACTGAGAGCACGCTGTCCGAAGTAAGGCAGAAGTGGGCGAAGCTCACCAGCGCAACGCTGGTCTGAATGACCAAGTAGAGCTCGAGTGCTCCAGGAAGCGATGTTGAGGCCCTCCTGCGGGGGCGCGAGGAGCCAAGGGCTTGAGTGGTGGCTGAAGCCACTGCGCAGCAGAGAGCGCGTCTGCGAAGTTGGACTCGAACTCGGACTGGATTTCCTGCTGGATGGGAGCCGTCGAAGCCTGGGTAGACAGCAGCGCGGGACCACTGGAGCTTAGTAGGCACGACAGCTGTGCCACCAAAGAAAAGGCGCACCACAACTTCACCACGGCTCGGCACGAAGTCCAATGTTCCGCGTGGACTTAGGTCGATTTCTGGCTTTGCATGTTGCATGATCTTGGCGAGGCGGTCGACCTGGA